CATATAATGTTTACGTGTACTGAAAAGATCAAATCATTAATTTTATTACGCTGGATTGGATCTGAAATAGGATTATCCTAAAGTAGGCTAGTATTTCATTTATTTTAAATTATTAGTTCCGTTTTTCTCCGATTATCGAAATCGAAAAGAAATTTTTAACATTTTTACTATACCACAGAAATATGCACCAAAAGTGTATAAAAAAGACTAATGGCGTTCCCGTCATCCAGTCCAGCCCACCCAACAACGCTGCACGATCATATGATTGTTAGCAAAGTCAAGGAGGAAAGCATTGGCAATGTTAAATATTTCTGGTGGTTTTAAAGTTCTATTACTTAGTTCACGGTAGTCATAGAAGGAACATGAAACTCTCAACACCATTTTTCGGAATGTTTTTGGTGTGAACTTGAATCCTGCTAGTAAACTCCCGACTCTCTAACGAATCGAATAAGTGAACGCGTAAAACTCTGCAAGGTGCTGATATCACTGCTACGCTGGAAGTAATAACTAAGGCAACAATAATAGCTAAAGTAAGCAATAACTAAAGTACACAACTCATGCCTTTTAAAATTCCATCATGACAAAATATTTTGCATTTAACATCAAAGCAATTTGCAGAGTTGAAATTTTAAAATATTAGATTATAATAATAAGGCTTGCATAACATCCTATTGATAGCATCATTGGAATCTCAAAAATGTCACAAATTTAAATAAAGAATAATATATTAACTTTTTTTCAAAATAAAAGTCTTAAAATTTCTATTTTAAGTGCTTTATAAATCGCTGCCATCTACAGAAATGAAACAAAGAATAATTAAATTAAAGCTTTTTTTATTATTTTCCTGTGCTTATAAATGCTGATTTACTACTTTTGTGTGTTTATATTTCATATAAATTTTATAAATAAATATGCCGGAAGACCAAAAATTAACTTTTTTACAATTCTAAACAGTAACAATTTTTACAGTGGAAGATATCCAGAGCAATTTACATTCTATATATATATGAGTTTACGTTCTATATATGTAGATGGATAGATAGATAGGTAGGTAGATATAGATGGATAGATATAGATATAGATAAATAGGTAGATAGATAGATAGGTAGACAGATAGATATAGATAGTATAGAAAATATAAAAAAATATCAACGCTTATTAAAAGTAAACATTGATATAGATAGGTAGTATAGAAAATATTTTTTTAAAAATGTCAACACTTTGTAAAAGTAAACATTGATCAGCTGAGGACATCCACGCCAAGCACATTTTTTTCTCTTGGCATTTTTTAAATATAAGATAGATACTAACATTACGCTACCCATAGATCTGTATCTAACTCTAGATGAATTCATCTGCCTCCAGTGATTCTCTGTAAGGTTTTGTTGAATATGGAATATATAAGAATAAGATGTCAAACAATGAGCTTATGATTTCTGAAACCCAGAAGAATGAATATTTTAGTTGTCAAAATTGAAATTCACAGAAACTTTATCCTATAAATTAGTTAATTCTTAAATTGCCTATGGAAATTTTATATCCTTATTAAATTCTATTGCTTATATAGTCAGTTACAGTATGAATGCCTAAATTCATATTCTTCATTCCAGAGATGTACAGATACGACCATTTCACCTTTATCGTAATCTCAAGAGACTCCTTAGAAAAAAATATATCTGGATCTGTTCCAAACTTTAAAAAGTGCCATTTGGACCGTTAGGGTGACGGCCAATATTTTCTACCCTTACACTCTTAATGGCGTCATTAAACGTCTTTTCTCAATGGCTTCATGCAATGAATGTAAATGTATTACGTGTGTTCTACGTTCTTAGCAAGCCAGTAGACATTATATTTCTGGCAACTTGATTCATCACTTTTGCGAGTGTTTCAGATAGCGAAGGAGTATACACCCATGTGATCCTAATAATAAACTTTGAATTATGACTTTAAAACCTAATTATAAGCTAATTCTTTGACATTTTGAAGGTAAGCATGTACCAAAACATAATATTAACGAGCAGCTGAAGTTGTCTCGTGTGCGTTTTTAATATTACGACTGCAGTTCAATATCATTATTCTAAATGTCCTTACATTCGTAGGTTGAACTACGTCCTCATGATGCGGTTTTCGTCAAAACCGGATGTCGGTTTATAAATGTGAAAGGTCGCATTCATACTTTCTGCGCAGTGTATGTCGCTCGCTGCAACGAAATGAAATTTACAGAATGACATAAATCTCTATGCCAGATAAATGTCAGTATTAGAAACCTCTCGATATCCAAGGCTTGGATGGCGAGATTTTCAAGAACTTGACTTCGATTTGAAAAATTTATATATTCATTTGCTAATCTCGATAGCAATTTTAAAATCCATTGCATTATTGTCTCATATATTGTAAGCATGCTTCATACGTTACTGAAAACTTCACCCATTTTAAAACATCAGTATTTTTGCTATCGCTATAATGAATAAATTGTGTTCATTATGTTACCACTTTTTAAAACTCAAATATGAGATTTTTTTCCTTTTTATTTATTTATTAGTACTGATAAATCAACCCACGTGAATAAAAATGTTTAGGAGCTTGCTATTTTCTTATTTCCTGGCAATTTTCCTCTGTTTCTGGCATGTCTAAGGCCACTCCAAAATTACGTACCATCAAATCTCGCATCTGTTGTGAACGCTTGTGAATCTCAAAAACAGGCGTTTTAGTAATTTAAGCAAGCGCCGACCAACCGGTACAGTAGTTAATGACATTAACTGCCGCAGCGATGGGTCCGGGCTCGAATCCCGAAGAAAGCTCGGTTGTGACTGGCCGTCCCTTCACAGGAGGCAGTGATGCCCACCTACGAGGTGCTTCCATAATGAAATGGCTACCACTTCCGGCCCTTGAAATGGCGCAAGGCTAATGGCCATTAAATAAAGTGTCCGGCCATTAAAAAAACAGTTATTTAAGTAAACAGTTAGGCAAAGGATTTAGCCTTCTAAAAGTTAATAGATAAAAACATTTGCATCCTAATTTACGCCATTTTATCCCCTTCTCTAGAATGCGCAATATTTGTCAACTTAGAGAAGATAGAAAGTTCGTTATAGGGGAACTGGAGAACCACTTTGCGCCCAAAATATAATTTTACTTTTAAAATGTACACGTATTTAAAAATTATGAAGAAATTATTGAATAAAATTTTTAATGCACATACAGTATAACAACCTAGTATTAAACGTTTTCAACATAATTCTCTACAAAGGATATTAACACATCAATCTTCTATTGTTTAGTTTCATTTATGTGTACACAAGAAAATGACTACTCCTGTGTAGAAAAAATGCTTGTCTTTTAACATGTGGGAGCCCCTTGGGGTACTTAAGAAAGTTATATTAATTCATTTTCAACATGAAAAGTTGAAAACTTTTCAGTTTTATGGATTTCATAATAATGAATAAAATCTTCTATGGTAAATACGTACTGATATATATAATAAATTATGGCATAATTTTTCTATGACAAGTCTTGATATAAGCACTATTGGTAGCTCATATAATAGCCATGTCATGAAATGTAGGAGGAGACGATTTTTGAAACAGTTTGCAAAACAAAAGTTAATTATTACGACAAATATCATTCTAGTGTAAAGCACGATCAGCCTGTGGTAGAGGCAAATTGTGAAACTTAATTTTTAGATTTCCGCTCTTTATTCACAGATGGATGTTTAAACTAATTATTTCGCCAGTAAACTTAAAAATCATAAATTTTGAAATTGCAATTTCTTCAAAAATGCAAAGTCGAGTTAAAGTTTTAATGCTGGGAAATCCGCTATTTGGCTTTAATTAAAATATTCAATGCCACATTGCATATTATAGATGTTACAAATTCATATGTCAAGAAAGAAATTCTTAAATTTTCGTTTCATTTTGTTCCTTTTGCCGAAATGCACACTTTCGTCAAATTAAATCAAATTTGACCAAACACAGGCGCAATGGGTTGTGTTGTTATCGCATAATTCATGTCCAGGCTACAGACATGGAATGGTTCAATGGATTCACCTGTTGTTGACCGTAAGCCATGAGCCATGCAAAGCCAGGAGCTATAGCCGACTTCATGAACAATTATGCGTAGGCTGCTCATGTCTTTGTAACAGATGATGAACATCAAAAGTTACAGTGCAGTTTGATCAAACACAGAAATATTTGGTGTATTGTTGTTGCATAATGTCTTGTACAGGCTGTGAGAAACCTCGTGAATTAATCAAGGGTAGATCAGGCGTTGTTCCAGTCGTTGGTCACTGTCATGATAACAGCAGTTTTAGGATTATTATTACGATTTTGTCCAACTGCATCTAAATTTTGATCTAGGACAAAACAGTTTCACACATTCTCTAATCTGCAGATCTTGTACTTTTCTTCGTTTACTATTTACTTCTCAACAGGATGTTTGAATAAATGAATTTTAAATGCTCCATTGCAAACACGTGAAAGTCACAAGTATATGTAGCTTATCGGAAATTCTAACCAGAGGCCATACGTGTAGTAAATAGCCTCAGTACTAAACATTTCTTTGAAATGGTGATTAGATACATGATTACAGTAGTATCTGTATAATATATATATACTTAAAGCTACACAGCGTAAGACTAGCGCATAACACCACTTTATTCCCTTATTTATTATAAGGACATCGTATAACGCCATTTAATTCGTAATATTAATTTATTTATTTTGCCTTCTTTCAATTAATTACTGTTACCATCTCTGTGTTAACAAGGTACTACCATTACGATACAGGTAAGTGAATGATAGAAACGGGGAATATTAAGTTGAATAAACTTGATATAAGTTGAATGAACACTCAATTTTCACTAAACTGGACATTTTATTGAGTTTATAATTATTATTATAGAATTGTCCATATTCAGTTTCTTTATGTTTTACTGTGCATAGAAAATAATATGTGTACTTTTATATTATACTTGTTATGTAATGAAAATATTCATTTTCTTTCAGATGGGCGACATTTTAAAACACAAGATTCAAAAGAGACCAGACAGACAAGAACTGGTGCAACGACATATCCTTGAAGGTATAAATTTTAGTCAGATAAATTTATTGACCGAATAAAACAGATAGATAAAGCTTTTAATTTTGAATGAATATACTAAATGAAATAGATAATCAGTCAGTCTAAAGACTTACAATAAATCTTGAAATATACAATAAATTTTACTAGCTAAATCCCACCTAGTAAGATTTATCAACATAAAAAAGTATGCATAAAACGTCCCTTAAACGCCTCATTGTTTATTTAATAATAGTTTCTATTTTCAATCGCTTTGTCATACATAGAAACAGAAACATTTCTGACATTTGAAACATCGAATCGCGCATCCATATTTGTGTTCTTATTTCGAGACTAATTTCGGCTAGTATGTTTCATCCCTTTCTTCGTTTAACAGACCTTTTACTAACGTGTGTAACTTGGCTATTTCCTTAATTCTTAAAATTCTTCTCTGCTTGCGATAAATTGGGAATTTCGGACAGAGCAAATATCCAATCAGACTGTGTTTAGGTAATACCTACAAAAGCACTGAAAATTAATCGCTTAATGACCGAATTTATATTAAACATTATGCCGAAAATCCCTGACTTTTTATACCATTTTTATTATCTACAGATATCACTAGATGTAGCTTTGCAAGGCGGGAACAAAAACAATTTTCTTGAGGAAAAAACAAGATAGATATTATAGTTCATGGCATTACCCGAGTCAACTCGAGCTTCAATGAAGCAGCCAAAATGAACACAATTTAGCCAAAAGTAATATAGAACTGTAGTCTAGGTAATAACAGTTAATAAGAGTTAAAGTAAAAAATTAAGTAAATACATTTTACGATCTATAAATATCATTGACAGTATGTTGCAGTCTGAAACATGGTGTAACACATAGCGGCACATCACAGCCTGGACAATAATACCGCCATTACCGCTCGAGGGTAATCACAAAAGCCGCCTGGACCCTTCCCACAGAAAAGAAAATGTGCATAGCAAAGTGCCGATTGCCACGCGATATTACTGGCGATGGCATTAAATATCCGTAACATTTTAGCTCTACAGTTAATTCGTTCATGAAAAAATCGAAACGGCATCTACACTGATTATTATAAATAAAGACAAAATCACAAAAATAACGATAACTCTCTCAAAAATAAGCCAACCGTGTAAAATTTGAATACGTTGCCAAGTAAGAGTAGCTGAGTATAACTGCAATATGCAAATTATTGGCGCTGCACTCGGAATACGTCATCTGCGAGGAGCATAAAATTCCATGTTAGAGAGCAAGCCCACATATTTCACTTTGATAGTGACATCAGAAATCTGAGATAACCAATTCGTAACAATGACCTCCAGGCATCATTTGCCTGCAGAACTACGATAGGGAACCATTGGAAGACTAGAGGCGGGCCGGAACTACGATAGGGAACCATTGGAAGACTAGAGTCAAACAGAAGTGGCCAGGTGGCTAAATGTGAGTCTTTCTGTGGTTCAAAGACTTTGGAGGCAATTTCAAACCACAGATTCGGCACCTAGGAGGTTCAACCAAGGACGCCCAACTGCTACGACGAGCGCCGATGGCCGGTATTTGACATTTATGTGCACACACGAATACAACCGCTGCTCCGACTCTTCCTCCCTTAGATCCTCCCTTGCTGCAGCCACCGGAAGGTTGGCTTCAACGTCAACTGTGCGTAGAAGGTTTGTATGCGAGGCGACCAGCTATTTGCGTGCCGCTCACGTCACGCCATAGGAGGGACCGTTTGTAGTGGGCACGACAACATGTTCACTGGACGCCTGATCAATGGACGGCTGTTCTCTTTACAGATGAGTCCAGGTGTAGTCTCGGAAGCGATAGTTGGCGTTATTTGATATGGAGAGAACCTGGAACCCGTTATCATCCGTCAAATATCCGTGAAAGAGATGCATACGGAAGAGGCAGTGTTTGTGTTTGGGGTGGCATTTCTTTGGGTGGACGCACAGACCTCCATGTCTATCCAAGGGGAACCGTGAATGCTCAGGTTTATAGAGATGACATCCTTGATGCTTATATGCGCCCATATGCCGGGGCAATAGGTGATGCTTTCCTGTTACAGAACGACAACACAAGACCACACAGGGCTCGTATCGTAGATGATTATCTTCAAACAGGAAACAATTATGCGCATGGAGTGGCCAGCACGATCTCCGGACTTGAATCCTATCGAGCACGTTTGGGATGCTTTAGGGAGAGGTCTAGCTGCTCTCAGACCCTTGCCGCGCTTGCAACTGCTTTGCAAGAAAAATGGCTCTCGCTTCCTATGGAACTGATAGACCGCATAATTGAAAGCATCACACATCGCTGAATGTGCTGTATGGCTTCTAGAGGCGATTATATTCCATATTGAAGGTACTTTTACTATAGCAAAAACTTACATCTTCAATTTGTTCATTTTATACATGTGCTAATTTCTATACTACCATAATTGTCTGGTAATTTCTTTTTATGTTATTTGATATCTTACTATGTGTTGTATATTGTGGATAAGTTTCATAAAATTCTACATGTAACATTTTCAGTAATCATGATTTTTGTGATTTTTCCTTAATTTATGATAACCAGTGTATTTCCTGAGATATCTCGGGCGCGGTCGTGAAGCGATTAAGGGCGAATTAGCTAATGACACATCTAACACATACATCAGGCACATACATCAGGTGTGTTATCATACACACCAAAGCTGTCCATTCTTTCATAAAGTTGAGGTGAAATCGTCATCGTCTATGGGCGAAGTAACCATCCACTGATGTGGTGAAGAAAATATGAAATAATAATCTAATTATGTAGTACATTGACGGCTAAATGATGATTGGGACCGCATGAGGCTTATTAGCTATTTTCTAGGACCTGCAGCTAGATTAACAAAATTTATTGTGAATGACTGCGGATTCCGGAATGTATGTATATATTTTTAACATTTTGCAACTATCTCTAAGACTTAAATATCAGCATTATCACCAAAAATCACTTTTCTGATGTTGTTTTGCGTATATGTGTCCACAGTGTTCTCATGAACTCACATTATATTATCAGTTTTCATATTTAAGGACATATATATTTTTCTTGACATGCATTCTAAACGGCCCTTTGGATTACTTTGAGTAACTTTCTCTGTGGCCTCGATATTGTTCTGTCTATAAAACTCTTTAAAAGAACTGTTTTGAAATTACTACCAGAAGGCACTTATTGAAACCGTTTTTTTTTTTTTTTTTTTTAAAGAGGAAATGTTTGTAAATATTTTTCAGGTATACATATTATGCGGCTCATGGGCAAAATCGCATCTTAAATAGGCCTTTGAAGCCGCAATGTAAGAAATTACTAGATTGTGATTACCAAATTGGACAGTTTAATGTGCACCACTTATCACAGCGTGTCTTTTGGCCGAATAGTAGATAGATAATGGACAGACAAGACATTGCTGATTTTTACAAAAGGGATTTTTTTTTTCGTTGAAAGAAAAATAAGTTAATATGATTCTGCTGATATAGTTTCGTAAATAAAAGACTTCACTAAATAAATACACGAGCTTCCTTGCTGATTCTCTGCGCTTTTCTTTTCCTAGTTTGTTTTCAACTTTTCTTTTACGTATACACATCAAACACATTCTTTCGCAATTAAGCGTAATAACATGTTGACTTCCAAGAATGTATCGCTTTTATGCAACATATTTTCACATAGTTAGAGCTGAGTGAAAGCTAGTACATCAAATGCTCTTTATGTGTTTATTATTTATAATATTTCTTGACTCCAGTTTCATTAAAGAGTATTAAATAAAAGAACATGATTTCTGGAGTTGTTTTCAAAGCATAAAATGCTGCATAATGGATAATAAATGTAATTTCTTTATGAAATAGATTCTTGCATCGATCCAAGTTTACAAGACAAGCAGAGGCAATTGAAAAGGGCGCGTCTTGCTGATGGCCTCAACGATAGAATATCACAAAGACCAGGACCTCTGGAGTTGGTAAAGGTGAACATATTGCATGCAGATGAACTCTTGGCTCAAGCTGTCCATGGTAAGAGTCATTGGTTTATGAATTATGGAAAATCACTACAAGGGATATTTGTCCAAATGGAGGTACTTCCTTTTATGAAAACTTGGCGGCACAAGGAAGAGAACTACGAATGTCCCATATTGTGCCGCAATAAACTAATAATCTTTCGAAGGCTGAGTCACTAGAGGGTGACGTGGCAAAAATCATTTTGCCTTTAACATAAAATGTTATTTAGCTAACAGAGTCTAAGCACCAAAAAATGTTGTATTTAAGAGACGTCTTGTGGCCTCAAAAGAGGTGTTGGCTCCATAGATAATGGTTAGGTGTGGAAAAAATTCGTGTTTACTAGTGTTAGATACTAGATGCCGCTGCTCGCCGTCACTTAAGAGAAATATTTTTGAAAAAATACCCTTTAAAAAATTACTACTCGATAAAACGATATTTAAAATATGTAATGATTTAATTTTGCTTTTACACATTTGTACATGTTTTTCTGAAACCTTTAGTAAACCGTAGCAGCATAAAGCGAAGAAACAGTTACTATTAATATTTACGAGGAATTGTTTTGAGCTTTCTCAGATCTTCATAAATATATAACAAATTATGGCAAATAACTGTTAAAACTCAAAAACGCTAAAACATTATGGCATAATTTATATATAGTCTACATAAATCGAAATAACGTGTGTACAGGTAGTTTCGTTTTCCAAAACTGAAAGAGACAAATGGCAAATTGAAAATATTAAAGATGTAACAGTGATGATAGTGCCGTTGAGTCGAATCTTTAGAGTTCCAGTAGCAGATTTAGTGGGTAACTTACGTATTATGTTGTCACAAAATGATTTAGAACCAGTTTAGGATAAAGGAGACATAACAACATACTCATAATATCTGTGCTTTCGTTTGATGTAACTCCGGTTTATTCTTGATAAGCCGCATTTTGTTTTAACTGTTATCCTTGCATTTTATAAAAGTTATTAAAATCTAGTATCAACCTTCTGCAGAAACTCAAGGACTGAATTAAAAGTTACGAGATCCTACCATCAGAAAATGTGTGTATTAATGGACACGATGTGGTCAGTTGAACATGGCCGACAGGACAGTAATAGATTGGAACAATAACGTACGGGAGGTTTGCATTAAATAGCGTTCTAAAAAGAGCTTTTGTTAAAATAGTAGTGCCTAACAAAATAGTAGAAATCAATGAAAGCCTTTTTTACGAAGTTCAGAAACGAAACCAATGGAATACTGGTTGTATATGAAATAAAGGTGAGTCTATTAAAGTATAAAGGTGAGTCGGTTCTTCCAGAATTCCGCAGGAACGATTAGCGAGATAAACGCCATTTTTAACGGTTGCGGGATAATTAAAGTACCATCTAATGTACTATGCTGTATATGTATGGAGACGGTAAAGGTCATTTATTAATATTTTATAGGTGTTATAATTTGATGCGTCTACGATTTTACGCCAGTTTGTTCCAAATCTGTCGTATACTGTGGCTATCGTGAAATGCTTGAATGAAGCCGGTATACTTGTAGATACTGTTAAGGATTTTGAAGAAGCCAGAAAACCAAAAAAAAAAAAATTGCCAGGTTTACGAACACGGAGCTTGTATTTATGTAGAATTTACTTTTAAAACACACACGGAGAGCACGGATATTGCATTATTAAATGCTTTATTTTACTAATAAGAAATAAATAAAAGGTAAGTTAAGTAAAAATTAATATTGCAGGTGATGTCATGATAGTTATACTCAGTCCACACAGGTTTCATGTAATGATGAACATTTCAGTCCTATACACACGTAACATCCATGGCTAGCTTTAGATAATGTGATCAGCTTGGCTAAAGGAACTTAAACATCAAAGGAAACCGTCTGTTTCCACCAACTCTTAGAGGATTTACAAGCCGTCTGCTTGCCTCCGCTCATCTCCACGTCTGGACGCTATCTGATGTTGTCTCGATTGCTCCGCACTGCGCTAAGCTGGGTTGACGTCACCTCGCTGGGTATTCTAAGTCAGCATCGGTCGTCGATGATTTCCACATTTATGAACTGAATATGCTAACCATTACAAAAGCACGCACAAAGAAATGCGGTAATTCTTTGTATGCTTACTATAAAACTGGCACAATTTTTCTGTTTACCTGTATTTGTAAATTATCAAAATATTCAAGAAAAATGCTTTAAACTTATATGTTAATTCATATATATAGTCATTCATTCCGCAGTCCTTACATAAAATGTACTGAACGATATTTTTGTTTTCCATTCCTCTTCCCCATGCAAAAGCGACAAATCACTTCCGATTTCTTTTATTAACTGCAAAAAACTCACCAGTTTGCTTTCTTTAGTGAAACCAAAGTAGTGTAAAGTGAACAATCGTAAAAGCTAGGGTTAGAACTTTCTCCACAAAGACACTCTTTCGCCTCGGCAGATAGCCCTCATGTACTTTATCATAATCCAAATATTCGAATTCGATCGTAAAGCTAGGAGCATATGTATAATAAAATATTCCTTAAATTTAAACTTTGTAAACCATGTAATACATTATTGGTAAGTAGTTGCTGCAGCTGTTTCTGTTCGGTTTATGGCAAGGATGAAGATATGCATATCCATCTAAATAAAAAATTTTTACCTAGGCAGGAATCTGTTGGTGCCTGATCGGAAGAATAAGTCGAGACCGAATACCAGATAAATTCTAAATATTTAAATCAGCAGGAATCAGCATCTTATGAGTCTCATGAGCATGGATTCTTCTTTTTTAAGAAATGCTTAAACATGGTGATAGGTATATAGATTATAACTGTTGGTCAGTTGTGTTGTATTAGATACCTATGAAAAGAAAAGGTTAACTGGATAGTTTAATTATGTCTGCATCATTAGGATTCTTAAAGATCTAAATAAGCAAGCCAACTAAAGAGGGAAACTTGCAGTTGCTAGGTATAAATAAATATGTTTACTAAAGAAAATTATCAATTATAAGAAGAAGAAAGAGGTCGTGCGGTAAAGTCTTCTTAAAAAAGGGACAAATTCCAATTTGGTTGTAAAACTGTAGAGTCATTGTGCTAAAACCTCGCATTCTGAAATTTGTAATCATGCTATACTACAATTTTTAAATCGCTTGCAGAGCAAAAATTAAAATCATTGAATAATACATTCAGTAGCAGATAAGCAGATTAATTCATGACTCGTCACAGCTTTCTAGTATTACGGCTTCCCGAAGATGACTGCACCTGCAAAAAATTGACCTTAAGGTCTCAAAAATTATTATTTTTTTTTTAATTATTATGTGCTCCGCCTTTAAGCGCTACACGGAAAGGGAAGGATTGGCCATGGAGGACTATCTTAGGGAAACTGTTTTGTATTCACGCTACACATCGAAAACACCCGTGCAGCCAGTTTGGACTCGATTCCCGGACCTGTCTACCAACGTTAAGCGGCTTTTACCGCTCAGGCATGGTGGGCTCAAAAATGTATTGTCTGAACACTTCCAAAATTTTGCATAAGGGCAAAAAATCGCCAAACCTCGTAAAAACATTTATCATCAATGTCTTTTAGGCTTAAGCAATCTGTACCTCTGGTTTTCCTTCAACTATTTCCCTAATTCCAGAATCTATATTTACTCAAAACTTCAGGCATTACAAGCTAATAAAGCAATTAGAGACATGCACTATAAAATTGAATAGGTGTCTTTTTAATCCTACCTGGAAGTACTAAGCATCGAAATTATCAATTAAAGAACACAAATGGTCTTAGGAAAATAATTCCGGTTTTCTCGCCTTGAAAATAGCATGCGCTTCACTAGCGTGATTTCATTGCATATAGATTACTCATTTTTATACATATCTGTTGCAACGGATACATAAATTTTATTTATAATATTACCATACCTGTCAATTGAAATATTTTTAAAGAACTGTCTTTCATTAAATAACTAAAAAAAGAATACTTTTAACGTGGTATGCTATGTATTTTAAGATATGTAAAGATAAATTTTATGTCTTTGATTATTTTTCGTAAATATCATAGCATTTGCATCTGTGTTGTTTTAATGTGCTGTTTTATTCCCCCTCTTCTACAGATGGTTCCTTACCGTTCAAAAACACATGCGACACACCTTCGCCAAAGACAAGGGTTGGCTTGGATGAAGATAGTGGAAGCGACGGTACTTTCTCCCCGTCGCCCCCCTACGACTTTAGCGAACATTCCCAGGGCAGGTAAAATAGCTTCGTACCTCATTATGCATAGATTTATGATAAAATAATTTCTAAATTTTTGGATGTTGTCTTCCAGTTTTCATGATTTATTTTTAAATAGAATAATTATGATTTTAAGTGAAAATTATAGCACTGATTTTAAATTAAATTGCTGTAAATTCGCTGATATCGTGGTTTTGTAATGAATTCGACTAATTAATGCTTTCGTTGGTAATTTCAGCCATAAAATTCAGAACATTACACTTGAGGATGTACTTTAATTTTACAGGCTTGTGTTTGATAACATGCCACTTGCCCGCGATTTGTTTCAGCGCGCACTTTCGAAATTAGTTAACATTTTCCTTTACTGCAAAATTTTTCATAAAATTGCACAGTATATAAAATATTTGGGAATACATGTTATAGTTACAGTATTTTCAAGTGAAGTTACTAAGAAAGCTATCATTCGTAATAGGCACAAACCGCTCGCATGTCATTGCCGCAATATCATTGTTTGTTTGTGTACATTCAAAAACTCTTCAAGAACTTAAACTAACATCAAAAACTTAACTAAACGTTCAGACACAGATCCTTCTCGCCCTCAAAATCGACAGTTTTATTCAAATATCTGAGCCAAAATAACGTTGCTCGTTTACATTATTTTAAATTTTACACTGGCGTGCTGCTCTTAAAATTTGCATTAGTTTACAATCGTACTAAATTATTCAGTGAAAATCATATTTTATAATAAAATATTGAAATGACTCTTTTAATTTACTGATTGTAGTGAGTGAAAACATTGAAGTAAACTAAAGTTTGTGAAAAGTGAAAAACAAAATGAATATAGGGCATCGTTAACATATGCAGCTGAAGATAATCTCAGTCGTAAAAATTCAGTGTTTCAAACGATTTTTAAACCAATATGAAGGTTTAAAGCACCATATTTAAGCTATTAGCTGAAAGGTAATGATATTACGATAACAAGACTATCATTGTGGCCATATTCTTCTAAGGCCTGAGAATAGCTGGTAGAAGACAGTATGAAAGGAGGACATTATCGCTTCAAGAAACCAAAAATGTGAATATTCTTTTTTTTTCCATTACATATTCCTGTATGGCAAGCAAGAGCGTACTGTGTCTATCTAAGTGTGAATAACCCTTGCTTGTATTATGGCGTACGTATATTGCTAACCCAGAAAAGATGAACATGTGAAAATACGGTTTCTGTGAATGTTTTTGTCCTATCCTCATCGTAAAATGTAAAATCACAAATTGGGGACCAACATAAGCAATCAATGATGTATTATAACGAATTATATAACTCATTATCACGCATTACACATGTATGTAATATCTGTAACGTTATAATTTGAGTCAATCTCTCATTAACATAATATAATTTGTTTTTCAGCTTGCCTTCACTGGAAGCGAGCGAGCCGTCACCGAACCCCAACCAGGGGTCGCCTTGTTCCGCCGGAACTTCCTTTTCCATGTCACCCCCCAGCTCGGTGTCCTCCCCATTGTCCGTCCTGCCGTCCGTCGTGTCGCCGCAGTCGGCTCACGAGCAAATTTCAGATTATATCGTTCACATGCATCACAACGGCAACAAGGAGTCCTCCAACAAAAACAGGAAAAAGACCAAGCCAAAGACGCAACCCAAGCCGAGAACAATTAAATTTCATGAATATAAGGTAAATTTATTATCTGTGTATGTCTTCTTTTCTTGAAGAATGAAAGTCTTCGTGGCGAGATGTGCCAATTTTCTGAAAGTTTTTCTTACTCACTGGCTTAGGAATGTTCTGTTTGTCTCACTTTATGCAAACACATCATAAAACAACTCCTTTGTGTCTTGTGTTGGCCCAAATCTGCATTCCTGTACCTCAAAGCTAGCGCTGCTTATATTTTTGTTAAATTAATTTAACACTTAAATACTTCTACTCTGAAGATTTCCTCCATATTACTAAAGCACTAATTAGACTGATTGAATCGTAAGCTGATCAACTCTTCAATGGGTATAACATTAACCAATCATCATTGCTCTTCATCGAACGGTCTATTAGTGTCAAAAACGTGTAGGAGCCTAATATTTGATTTTATAACAGAATCTGTTTTTTAAAGGCCTAACGGAATGCACGTTTTGTTTTTTACTTAATTCCTCTCGGGTTATGCTTGGCTAACGCTGCTTAAAAATTAGCCATAAAATGCAGTTCCAGCGCTTAAACTGTCACAGAAAAATTCCAGTTTGAGAAATTTAAAAACAAAATATCATTCTTCCCGAATACATTCAGCATTTCATTTCAGCTCTAAATTCGTTCATTCTTACTGTCATTGTTAACGGAGAGTTTTTTCCTTTATGCGAAGTCTATTTATAAATCTGTTAAAAAATTCCTTTTTTATACCGTTTACAAAGACTCTTGTTTGGTAAATATACGCTTACTCTTCTATGAGCATTCTGAAAGATGTGTAATAATTTGCTTCTTTTTAATAAAGCCATTTGTATTTTATAGAAGCTTAGACAATTTTATAAAAGAAGGCATTGAATTTTTAAGACCATTTTTTTTTAATTATGAAAAAATGCTCACTTTATTATACCGAAAATTTTCAGTTTTTAATAAATTTAGTTACTTTTAAGAAAATAGGGTTTGCCCTGAGGAAGAATTAAATCGATATCGCTTATTTACTAAAGATTTGCGTTCTTTCAGTTTATGTTTTACAATTACCTGGGTATATAATTATGAGCGTCAAAAGAACAGGGTATCTTTAATTATAGAACCCTACTTCAAAACTGCCTCCAAGCGAAACCAGTCAACAGAAAATTGTGAAATTTCGTGGCGGACTTAACCACTTGCGCTACGACTAAACTTCACGGTTGCGGTGCCGTGTGCTACAATATAACAATATAATAAGCGGTAAAGTGTCTCATTTACGCCGCTCCGCGTCTGCGAGTGCAATCCAGAGCTGTAACTCGAGAAATAAACAATCTCGTTGTTAGGCGACGTGTGCACCACGTTATTTTCATTTTTGCGCGCGGTTTCAGACAATAGCATCTCGATGTGCGTGGCACGTGTTTTTAGCGCAAGTGGTTAATGAAGGAATGAAAATGTTTTTCAGCGAGAAAACAAATTAGTTACAAATAGCGTCACCAGAGGGCATTATATTAATATATTATATCAACAAGATATAATATATTAATATAATACCCTCTGGTGATGATATAATATATTAATATAATGCCCTCTGGTATTTAGCCTCACTTTTACAATAGTTTTAAAATTTTACATATTTTGTTACAAAAAAATATGTTCCACATGATGGTAATCATTTCAGCAACCATCTGAAATCGCAAGATGGTATGTTCCACAGATGAACGAAGTGTATGCTGGGAAATGTTCAGTACGTTGCGTGAAATGCTGGCTTTAAGATCAGGTAAAGTTCTTGAATGGTCACGATTTACCATATGTTCCAAATGTCCCCAAAGCCAAAACTCGCATGGATTGAGGTCTGGGGATCGGGGAAACCACAAAGTGCCGGCTGTTTTCGTAAAACAATTTTATTAACAAAGCGCGATCTCTTAAGCTGATCGTCATTGTGAGCAACAGGCACATTGATAAAAATGTCTTCGCTAATGTTTCTAGGTTTTATAACAGCTGCTGCATGACGTTGACAAAAATTTACATTTTAACTACAAAGTCTTCAAAGTAGAACGCCCTCTGGTGACGCTATTTGTAACTATTTTGTTCTCTGAAAGACATTCTCATTCTTTCATTAAGCCCACCACGAAATTTCAAAATTTTCTGATCACTGTTTCGCTTGTAGGTAGTTTTGAAATAGGGTTCTTAATTACAGACACCCTGTACTTAAAAATGGAGATTAAAATTAGTCACATTGATGTACGAAATAAGAATTAAAATTTTTCTGATTGATTTTAGTTAAAACAAATCGTAAGATTTTATTTTTATTATAACGCCCTATGTTTTACTATTAATTTCTAGGAGACAAATTAGTTTTTATATTAGTTTCTCTAATTAAATTTTCATCTAATTTATTAAAACTAAAAATTATTATCTTAGGTGTGTAACAAATTAATATTACGCAGCTTATGCGTAACCAAAAATTCTGTGATATAAATCTTTTGAATTTTTTATTGAAAGAACAAATCCACGCAATCTTCTCTTTTTGCTTTCTTCAAATAAATATTCTAATAATCCATCTAAGAAAAGGGTAACACAGCTGGTACATGATATAAAGTTTAATGGGACAGCTAATCGCTTCTTGGAAGGCGAGAAAGCTTTTGCTGATGTTGGCACTGGCTGTTTTTGCTTTCAATGGAAATGACGCTTCGCAAGCAAGCCAAAGAAAATAATCAGCGTCCTAAAATTCGTTCAATCGGTTTGCACTCGTCCCTCAACAGAACTGAACAATCCGTCATCCGCGTCGCGTATCTATAAATAACTGGGGCATCACCCTACTAGCATTATCCGCGTTCTGCCGTTTATCTGTGCAATGGTCATCCCATAAATAATGCGGTTTTCCAGTTCGACTAAAATTCGGTGGAGGAGGGATAGGACAAACTGCTTGCATCAACTTGTACGTATAAAAGCGAGTGGTAATTTTATCTTATTCTTATCCTTAGAGGAAGTTCTGAAGAATTTAACAGTCCCCCCCCTCAATTAAAACAACCTAAATGGAAATAACAAAGGAGCATATTCCGCATATTTTGCTTTATGAATTAAATAAAATAATTCTTAGCGGGAATATTAATGAAATATATGGGTATCGAACAATAAGCCAATGTTAATGGTGGTACCGAAAATTCTGAGCTTGAAACTGCAGCTTAGAAGATGAGCTTCTTCCTGGAAAATCTGAAGAAAATTCTGTTGTAGACACCACGTGACTTCCTTGTGCAGCCTATTAAATTATACACATATTTTCCTGCTTTTTATTTAAACCTATTTCCTCGAATTGTTTTAACGTAATCAAACGATTCTTCAAAGCAAGTTGAAAATGATATCAAAAATTGTAAATTTGAAATCCCGGTCAATTTTTGTCCTACAGGAATCAATTTTCTTGTATTTTTATTTTTTCATAACGAGTATAAAACTCCCGGTATAACAAACAGAAGCCTGCATTAAAAGTTAGACTTCGTTATTTTTCCAATTTTTTTTTTTTTTTTTTTTTTTAAATTTGACATTTCCCAAGCATTAATAATTTTGTCATTTAAAACATATCTCAAATTAGAAGCATATACTACCAAGAACGATTGCGAAAATAAAGGGCGTGTAAGGACTATAAGGGGTGTGGATATATATATATAAATTTGGTATTTCTGAGTGCAATAAAAATGGAAATGCGCCACTAGACGTTATAGCAGTCCCATATACAAAATTCCAACGTTCTGCGGCTAACTGTTTTTGGTTTACGCAAGGTACGTACGTACAGACGTCACGGAAAAAAAATGGGATTTTTAATCCAATTTGAATTTATTTTGCGATCCGCTTTGGAATAAATAATCCTTTATTCTATAGTCAAATGATTTAATAGTCAAAATGGTCATTTCGGTTGAAATATGATACCCGTACTTTTTTGCAATCACAATACTTTCTTTACTTTGTACAAGGAAGTTAAAAAGCTTGACGAGGACGTCATGCAATAATATAGAATAAAATCCCATCGTATTTATTTTTTATTATTTATTTATTCATTCTTATTTTAAGAATATTTAATATCCTTATACATCAAATAGTAAGGGTAAGTAAAACAAATACAGCTGTTTAACACGAAATAAAATAAAGATACAGATTCACAGATGAAACGTAACAAATAAATATACAAAGAGAAGAGAATACCGTTTCATCTTCAACAAACGCATGGAGAGTAGAAGGAAGCTTTAATGTTTTAAGAATTTAACCGAGAAGTGTGTTCTTTTCTTCCTTCCGTAAGCTTTGAACACCAGAACAAATACTAATTCATAAGTCAAACAACAAAAATCAGCGTTATATTTACAAAAATTTTCACAGGACTAGTTTCGATGGTTTACCGAACCACCATCTTCAGCTGCAAAACCGCAAATGAAAAATTTTTTTCATTGTGAAAATTTTGTAAATATAACGCTGATTTTTGTTGTTTGACTTCTGAATTAGTATTTATTCGGCGTGTTATTGTGTCTTAATTACCAGAACAAATGTTCGAAATTTTGTTCTTAGATCAAAGACACAGAAACAAATCAAGTTTGTGTACGATAGCACAGATCTCTTCAGATCTAAATTACATCAAGACTCCAATTATCCGAATCATTTGGGACTGGACCCCATTCGGATAATCCAAAATTCGGATAATTGGATTTTTTTTTCCGAAGAAAGGGTCTTCATACACTTTAATTAATTACTGTATGTACTGTATGTTGAAAATGGAAGAACAAAACTATTTTTAAAGAAAAAGAGGCTTTAATAAATTAAAATGAATAGGCAACGCTTTTACGTACATGTTGTATAGCGTACTGTAGAGTTATTACAAGTGCTGAAAGTCATTGCTTGCTGAACATCTTGGTCAAAGTAAGCTGTTTGACTGTCTTCATCCGTTTTCCTGGCAGCCAAGTCGCGCGTCTGCTTGACAGTGAGAAGTTGCATGTGGTCACACTCGGGCTGACACTCCAGCTACTTCAGTGCAGTTTCAAGATCGGCAAACGCTTCAC